ACGTTCAATTAAGAAATTATTGTATTTTCATCACACAAACACATCTTATCTCTTCATATGTAAAATGTTCTTAGTTTTATTGTATATATTTCATTAAATTCATTCTTTCGAACTTAAATTTTCCACATTATATATCTTATCCATCTCATCTTGAATTTTTTGAATTTTATTTATAGATTGATAATTAACGAGGTCTTTTTAAAAAAAAATTGAGAAAAAAAGTCAACAATGTCTTTTTTTTATTGGGTTACTGGTGCAAATTCATTAGATAATGAGAATGTTAATCAGATGTGAGATTATAAAAAGAATTACAAGAATTTGTATTGAAGAAAAATTATTTTTGATTTTGTTTAAATTGTAACATTGGTTTTTTTTCGTCCTTTAGTTAATTAATTTAATTCTTTAAAAATAGGAACGAAAAATTGACACATTTTTGGGAGAAAAATTTAATTATTGGAAATTTCTTTTAAAGAAATTTTTTCGTATAAAAAATCTTCTTTGTTCGGGAATAATTTGCGCTTTTTTCATTCTTATCTATGTTGTCCTAGATTTTATTTTATTGAACACGATATTGCGAGAGATAAAGAATATGCTGTAAATGTAAAACATTGTAGTAGTTTAAATAGAAGACGAAGATTAATTAATATACAGTAAAATATTATACATGTGTATATTCTTAATACTGCTTTTTATAAATATCTACTTTACAATTAAAATTTTAAAATTTATTTATTTAATATTTAATAACAAAGAGGTTTAATTACTTATTAATTTTTAATTATTAATTAACAGTTTAAATTTATCGCAAATTGACACCAAAATTAATCAAACTGATACCATAGTATCAAATTGATACCAAAAGTGTTAAATTAATACCAAAAGACTGATACCAACTGATACCAAGAGTATCAAATTTATAAAAAAATTATTAAATTTATGCCAAAAGAATTAAATTAATACCAAAAGACTATTAACTGCTACCAAAAGTATCAAATTTATACAAAAATTATTAAATTGATGCCAAAAGAATTAAATTGATACCAAAAGTATTAAAGTGTTGACAAAAATTTTAAAATTTATGCAATAAAAAATAATTTAAATAATAAGAATTACTAGGTATTAAAAAATAAATTTAATTTTTTAAATCCTAATTTTTTAATTAAATAACAAAAATTTGCACCACATGAATAAAAATTATTTATTTAATAATAATTATTTTTAAATAAATAAATTAATTAAATTAAACTATAAATAACACATAAGTAGAAATAAATAAAAATTAAAATTAAAATAATAAAAATTAATAAAAATAAAAATAAATAAAAATTAAATAAATTAAAATTTCAAATTGGTAATTTGAAAAAAAATGTTTAAATATGAAAGGAATTAATTTTTTTGAAATTATTTAACAAATAGTAAATTATTTAAACAGTTTAAAGTTAATATGGATCAAATTATTGATTTTAATTTTTTTTGCATCAATTTGATTCACTTTGGTATAAATTTTACATTGAAAGAACCAATTTTAAAAATAATTTTTTTTTTAAATATTCTGAAACATTTTATTTAAAATATTACAATATATTATAAGAGGAAAGACATTGAGTTTGTGGAGAAAGAGATAGAACTAGTGCGCACCACTTTATGTCCTTAAATTGATAGCAACTCATATACAATGAACTTTATTTATAATCGCTGTGCTTAACTCGAGTTGCTCTATACTGGTTATAAGATACATGCAGGAAATCTTGGATATTAGTCGTCAAAGAAAATGGGATACATGGCTTTTTGGGTCGTTTAAGAATTAAATCATATGAACATGAAATTCTATATTCTTATCAATTTAGATATTATTATTTCAATTATATTTTGAGAAAATTTTTTTATTATTTTGAAATAAGTCAATGTTTCTATTTTTCTTCTTAGAAAAAAGAAAAATGTTGCAGTAATTAAAAATTTGTTCGCTTATTTCGAGAATCGTCTTCTTATTTTTCTAAATATAATGACTTGTACACGTTGTTGAACTTGGTGAATTAATTATAGGATCATTTTCTTTAGTCTCTATATCGCAATCTCGAAAAAATAATGACAGAGTAAATTAAACAAAAAAAAGAATTTTTTTTTTGGAATTTAAAAAAATCTCGTGTTTCTGTTAATGATTTTAATACTTTACTTTTTTTTTAATTTTTAATCAGGATTTCAACGGTTAGGGAAGTCAGGAAATTAAGGAAAAAGTCAAGAAAATAGTATAGAATTGGTCAGAGAAAAGTCAGGGTTTTTTATCAAAAGTATTGTAAAAAATTAAATTTTTAGAATTCATAGCAAAATTCTAAATTTTGGTGTTTTTTCTGTTTGCCTCATAAACTATAAAAATTACCACGAAATTTTCAATTTTTTTTTATTTCTGACAATAATTTCTAATTTCTAATTAGATTCAATTATTTTCAAAAAATTTAATAACTTTCTTGGCAGAATTTCAATTATTTTCAAAAAATTTTCTCAATTTAATGATAATAAAATTCTTTTTAGCGAATTGAATTATTTTTATAAATATTAAAACTCATCGCAGAATTTCAATTATTTTCAATTCAATTTTAATCGAATTCCTCGAAAAATGTCATTATTCTTAAAAATTTTATTAAAATAATTCAATTATTTAAAACATTAAAACAAATTTTTGATAAAATTCTACGAAAACATTTATTTATTTTCATGAATAATAAAAATATCATCAGGAATTCAATTATTTATAAATTTAGTATAAATTTCTTCGTAATAATTTCATTATTTCTATGAACTATACAATTTTTTACAAAAATTCAATTATTTTCGTAAATATAATAAAATTCTTTTTAGGAATTCAATTATCTTCAATTCAATTTTAATCAAATTACTGGAAAAATGTAATTATTCTTAAAAATTTTATTAAAATTCATGGAATTAATTAATTTAAAAATTTGTTGATAAAATTATAAGAATTGAATTTTAAGAAACATTATAATTATTCAATAAATTATTTATTATATATTTGTATTTAAATAATTGAATTTTCTTTGAATTTTTTAATAAAAATTGATTTAAAAAATAATTTTAGTTAAAGTTTTAGATAATAATTAAAATTTGAAGAAGTTACTAATGCAATTTTTAGAAATAATTGAATTTTGTTAAAGTTTCAAAGTAAAATCTTTGAAAATCTTAATTTTTTATATATTTTTAACTAACAATTCTGTAGAATAAATTTTTATTTTCATAGATAATATTATAAGTTATAATAAAAATATCACAAGAATTCAATTATTTACAAATTTGTTATAAATTTTTTCGTAATAATTCAATTATTTTAATAAACTATAAAATTTTTTTTACAGAGATTCAATTATTTTCGTAAATAATAATATTCTTTTTAGGAATTCAATTATTTTCATAAATAATAAAATTCATCGCAGGATTTCAATTATTTTTAATTCAATTTCAATCAAATTTCTCGAAAAATGTAATTATTTTTAAAATTTTTATTAAAAATTCGTCGAAAGAATTAAATGATTTAAACATTTATTGATAAAATTCTTTATGAGAATTCAATTTTAACAAGCATTCAATTATTCAATAAATTATTTATTTTTACATATTTAATTGATTGTAAAATAAATAAATAATTGAATTCTCGTAGAATTTTCTAATAAATATTGATTAAAAAATGGATTTCAGTTAAAATTTTAGATAATAATTGAACATTAAAAGCATTTCAGTGTAAATTTTTAGAAATAATTTAATTTTCAAAAAGTTTTAAATTAAAATCTTTGAAAATCTGATTTTTTTCATACTTTTAACTAACAATTTTGCAGAATTAATTTTTCTGGAAAAGTTTAATCGAATTTAAAAAAAAAATTATTTCATGTTTTTATTTTCTAATATATAATTCATTGAAGAATTTCCGAATAAACCAAATTTCGTGTAAAATTGAATTGTAAACAAATGGATTTGAAAAATAATTAAAAAACTTTTTTAAAAATTATTAAAAATAATTCATTTAAAGAAAAATTTTTTTTTAAATTCTAAAAAATAATAATTGAATTGATGAAAATAATTTTGAAAAAGTTACAGTAAAAATATTCTTATAATATAAAATAATTATTTTATCTCTCTAACATATTTAATTATATTATATAAAAAAAATGAAGAAATCGATTGCTCCGAGTCGAAGACTCGGAGCAATCGATTTCTTCATGTTTTATAATAAATCTTCTGAAAAGTTATTGAATTTTAAAATGTTGAAATTTGAAATTTTTGAAAATCTTATTTCTTATGGAAAAATAATAATAATGAAATATTTATTTTGAAAAAAAGTTATTGTTGTTTTCGAATAATTTTACAATTGGAGAAATTTGTACATAAATAATAATGAACATTTTCTTGAGTATTTAATAATTTTTAGAATGGATTAGAATATTCTTAGGAAGAAACAAAATTTTGTCTGGAAATCAGGGAAAAGTCAGGGAAAAACAAAATTAAATTTTTGTAACAACCCTATTAATACTTAAATAGATAAATAATGAAGAAAAAAATTATTTTTATAATTACTGCTTTATTTTTATAAATAAATAAGTAAATAAATAAAAGAAGTAGTTAAAAATAAAAATACAATAGATATATAAAAATAATAGGCAAAAATTTCTAAGCTTTCTTTTCAAAATTTTTTAGAATTCGTATTTCGGTAAAAATAGATTTTTAAGACCGAAATTGATTAAAAAATAAAATAAAAAATGATTTTTATAGCTGTTATACGCTTTTATTGTTGTAAATTAATAAATTATTTTTTTTATGAATTTATTTGTAAATAAATAAAGAAAAAAGTAGTAAAAAGATCTGAAATATACACACAAAACAGCCAAAAGTTCCCAAATTTTCAAAATTTTAGAAAATTTATATTTTTTGGAGAAACCAATTTTTGATGAATATTTAATTTTTTTAAACTAATTTTGCAATTATTGCATTTCTAGTGTAAACCGAAAGAGCTGAAGTAGAACCGTTCGCCGCATGGGTGCCTGGGTTAGTGATCGTGTCGTGGAGGAGGAGGTGGTCCTGAGAATTCAGGATACGTGGAATTGGACGACAACAATTCTGGGTACCATCTGCGATGGTGGCGGCGGTCAACACGAGACCAGGTCTTCCTTGTCCCTGTTACCGCTTCGTCGTCAATTTACTCGACAGCTCTACGAGTGGCCAATTACACCTTTATTTAAATCAAGGACGAAACTAGTCAATTTTTAAGTTTAATGATAAAGAAATATTTTGTGATTTGTGTGATAAATATAATCGTTTAAGCGTCGACCGAAGTTTTCAAGGAAGAGTAAAGGAATCGAAAACGAAAGAATTCCCCCCACACACCCCCTTTATTCTCAAAAATCGTTCGTCTCCCCTTTACCCACCAAGAAAAAATAAATTCACAACACACACCCCCAACAAATTCACAATTCGAATTCACAATGGCCGAATGGAAATTCTTCAATGGCGAGAAAACGAATCCAATATTAACCGAGAATGACGATAATAATGATGATGACGATGAAGATGAATTGTCGAAAATTGGAAAAATTTCCGTTCAACTTGTATTTCCTGAAGAAAATCTCAATTATAGATTAATTCAGGAGAGTAATAATGATGAGAAGGAGAAATTTATTGAAATTGATCCTAGTGATCAGGAATCGGGTTTGCAAATTCGTATAGAAGCTCTTAAGGAATTGAAGAATTTGGAACAACAAAATTCACCTAAACGACCAGAGAGTCTCTATAGGGAGGATTCACAAAAATTGAAAAATGTTTTTACAGAGAGAAATACAATTTTTGGTTCGCCACCACGTTTACTTGTGGTTAATAATCTCACTATTAATGAAAAGAGTACGGAGAAATTGGTTAATGGTAAATCGCCAAAAGACGAAAAGCAAGTACTTCATGTTCAATTCAATAAGGAGTCAAATTGTAAAAATCAGAATCAGAATCAGAAGATTAATCAAAAGACAAATATCTCATTATCGACGTCAAGTTCAAGTAGTTCGGAGGATAATTCGAGTTTGGAAAATTTCTCCGAACCAAGACCACCTGATGGAGGTTGGGGTTGGGTTGTTGTTGCGGCATCATTTATGGTGAATCTAATAGCCGATGGTATTACATTTTCATTTGGTGTAATCTTTGTGGAATTTGTCAAGTATTTTGGTGAGGGAAAATCGAAAACCGCTTGGATTGGCAGTCTATTTATGGCGATGCCATTGCTTTCGGGACCAATTGCTAGTTTTTTAACAGATCGTTACGGTTGTCGTAAAGTCTCGATAGTCGGTAGTATTTTAGCGACAACTGGCTTTGTCATCAGTTCGTTTGCAAATTCCATGTGGATTATTATTTTAACGTTTGGTGTTATCTCGGGTTTTGGTCTCTCGCTCTGTTTTGTGGCGGCGGTTGTTATTGTCGCTTACTATTTCGATAAGAAGCGTTCATTTGCCACCGGACTTTCGGTTTGTGGAAGTGGAATCGGAACCTTTATTTTTGCTCCCCTTACTCAGTATCTCTTGGCTGAATATGGCTGGCGTGGTACGACGCTAATTCTCGCGGGTTTGTTTCTAAATCTCGCCGTGTGCGGTTGTTTAATGAGGGATTTGGAATGGACGACGACGAGAGCAAAGGCGAAAACTGAGGAGAGGAGGAAAAATCGAGAGAAGAAAAGATCGAGAATACAGAGTTCGAGTGCTGATTCGTTTTCGGCCAGTAGTTCGGCGAATACAACAACACAAACGCCGCACGGTGATGCAAAACGTGGTTTCGCCTCGGCGAATGCAATGATTATTGAGAATTTACGCGTGCAGGACGATGAGGACGGGGGGAAATTGTTTTCCAGTTTGGTGAATTTGCCGACGTTTGTGAAGAATGGCGAGAAGGTGCCATTGGAAGTTTTGGAATTGTTGAGTACGAGAAAGAATGTTTACAATGTTCTACTGCAGAATTATCCGAGTCTTTTGATATCGTCGAGAAGTTTTAGTGATTCGGGTGCACTTCATGATCAGTTGAGTATTCCGTCGGCGAGATTTGTACCAACACCGAGTCCATTGGTTGATCCGAAGCAGAGTTCTACCAAGGAGCATGGTGAGAAAAGTTGTCGACAGAATAGTGATGCTGCATATCTTTGGTGGTTGAAGAAAATTAATACCGAGAGTCCATTGAGACGTTCTAATAGTTTACAGCACAGTAAAAAAGAACCAACGGCTTATTTAAAGGATATACGTGTGCACAGACATAGTTTAACTTACAGGGGAGCTATGCTCAATATCAATAGATATCGATTGAGAGCGTCTAGCTGTCCCGATATTTATCGGAATTCAATGACAACAATTGCTAAAACAAAAAGTGTTTGGTATGCCGGTCTTTGGGAATTTTGGGATTTGCTTGTCGATATGCTGGATTTTTCTCACTTTAGTGATTCAAGATTTTTGCTCTTCTCTATCAGCAATTTTCTTCTACATTTTTGGTACGATGTGCCTTATGTGTATCTCACCGATAATGCCATCGAAATGGGCTTCAGTCAGAAGGAGGCGTCGATTCTTATTTCGGTTGTTGGCATCACTAATATGGGAGGAGAGGTAACTTTTATTTAATAATTAATGATTGTTTTTTGCTAATGTTTTTCATTTTCCAACCGATACTGTATTTCCGAAATTCGTAAGTCCCTTTAGTTGTCAAGGTTGACGATGTCAAATATCTAGATTACCCAAAAGTCGATTAATTTTTACGGATATCATTAGTTTAATAATATTAATAATATTATATAATTAACTGTACCATTCAAAATTCTGGTAACATCAATATTTTCCAATCGTAGTTGGGCAAAAATTCTTTTATAAAAAAGCATAATTTAAATAAATATGAAATCCGTTTGATCCTGGCTGGACCCGAGTGACAAACGGAGGGTTAACAGCATCGTATGTAAAATCCTTAATGAATACAACTCTTTTTTTTGCGATATACAATTAAAGAAACGTTTTGAGGACCCATAGTAGTTCGCGTACATAACAAAAATTCATTAGCGCAAAAAAATGGTTTCAACTTTTTATTTCCGAAACAAAAATTTTCAACATTAGGAACCTAAGGTCTTCTTCTTTATCTTCTATCTTTCACTAATCGGATTAATCTAACAATGTTCTCGGAATCTACTTGTGCGGAATATTTTTAACTCATTTTGTTTAATCCTCGTTGTATAAGGTGTAACATTTCAGTGAAACCTTACAATTTAGATAGAAATTCATGCTTCTACCGGTTGCCTACTGCAATCTTTTCTCTAAATATTTCCTATTGGCCCACAATGATTTTTTGTTATCACATTTTCTGCTATTGATTTTTCCTTTTTTTTTTTCTTAATCCGAAATAAATTGGACTTTTGAAATCTAAACAAGTGCATATGCAAACTTATTCAGATTTAGAGTATATAGTAGCAATTTATCAATTGAAGAGCGGTGGGAGATTGAAAATTGAAATAAATTAAGTACAACCGGAGATTTTTTTGTTTTTTCTTTCAATTAGACATTGATCTGTTTACGAAGGATAGAGGCCTGACTTCCAGAAGGCAAGTGCGATTCATCGAGGTCGATCCTGACGTCGTCTCGCCTCTGATCCTATAATAGGCAATTTCATTATTCCAAGCGGATCGTTAATTTGGGTCAAACTATTGAAAGACTACTTTCTTATAAGAAACACAGTATCATGTTGAATCGACTTTTCTTTTCCCGTATCCTCTAATTTTTTAATTTCGAATCTTTTGTATAGTTTAAAATCTTTTTTGTAATTTAATATTTTCTAATTGCTAATTTAATGCTTCGTTATTGCTAGTTTATTTTTTCATTGTTGGTTTATTTTTTCATTGCTTGTTTATTATTATCATTGTTGTTTTATTTTTATCGTTGTTTTATTTTGTCGCTACTAATTTAATTTGTCGTTACTGATTTAATATTTATTTATTGTGGACAATGACGGAAGTAATGTGATAATTATTCGACATTTGGATTTAGTTTTTCCTCTTTGCAAAAATTCGTAAAGTTTGGGGGTTTTTTTCGATCTGGAGAGGAAGGGGAATTTTTTGATGAAACTTATTTGTTCTTAGATATTCCTTGGCTGGGCTGGCGATCGAGCTTGGGTGAATACCTCAATGGTGTATGCGGTCTGTATGTTTCTCTGCGGTACTGTAACGGCGATGATTCCCTTAGCGGTCAACAACTATCCTGCACTATGTGCAATTTCCGGTGCCTTCGGACTCTTCATCGCTGCAAACTACAGTCTTACTAGTATTATTCTCGTTGAAGCCATCACCCTGGAGAGATTCACTAATGCCTACGGTCTCCTTCTACTTGTTCAGGGCATCGCCAATCTCATGGGACCTCCACTTGCTGGTAAAACTTTTCAGCAAAAATACTTCTTTGCAATTGTATATCAAAACAAATTTTAAAACAAATAATTATTTAGATAGAGAGGGAAACATAATATTTAAAATTTTTGTACGTAAAAGAAAATTTTTTTCGATTAAAAGAAAATGTTCTAGCATTTGCATATTTGGAGGAAAATTCTTGAATGCAGAATAATGTTTTTATATATTTTTGTATTGGATAATTGGAATATTGATTTGAAATTAAGTAAAGAGTTTCCTTTACACACGCGAGACCTTTGAATTTGAAACCACGTGCAGATATAATAAAATTTCTAGCGAATTGTCAATAAAGGTCGTGGAGATAGTAAAGGATCAATTTATTATATTATTGAACTATCCAATGGAAATTTGATTCTTTAATGAATTCCAGGGATTATTTCGCCTTCTAAAGTCATATTATTATCGAAATTCAATTGAGCTTGTCTTTTGTAAGCCAATTATTCTCACTCCAATGGATTTAAATTAATTTATTGTCCAGAACTTATAGTTTTCCCGTTTATATTCCCTTGATAAATTCCCTTCAAATTTCTCATCAATTTAAGCAAAAAAAAAGAAATTTAAATTTATTTGAAATTTTTAATTTACAATTGCTCATAATTATTATTGATTTTAGGTTGGCTTTATGACATCACAGGCTCTTATGACTGGTCCTTTTATCTGGCGGGATTTTTCATAGCTCTCAGCGGAACAATGCTAATAGTTATGCCACTTGTGGACATATTTCGCAGATGCTGCTGTACAAAACGAAAAGAGGAATCAGGACAATTTTCTGACATCAACAGTGTTTGAAATACAATAGGGAATAATAATTCTGAGAATTGAAAGATATAAGCGACAACAATAATATTATATATAAATAAAAACACTTCCAAGCAGGAATTGCGAAGCGTCTTTGTGTATTTCAAGGACGATTGAAAATCGTCTTATTAGCAATATTAATTTCTTTTTTTACATTTCTTCTTATATACATATAAACATCCGAGTCCATGGAATTTCACCTAGTTCCTTCCGTAGAAAGAGAGAGAAAAAACAACGTTAGTTAATAAGTATAATTAGCCGACGATAATTACACAATTTTTTAATACTTCGCTAATAATTATACAAAAACGTCGGAATATTCTTTTTTATATAGTGAACAAAAAATAGCACACCAAAAATGTAGGTTGCTAAACGACCTTTTTCAAACGTTTGAAAATTGCCTGCCTCGAAAATTCCTTTTGTATATATGAAAGGACGCAATTTTTTTTTTCCATTTTTGTCAGTATGATGAAAATGTATTAACAACGTAATTTATTATTGTCATCAATCACTTTTGAGTGTTTCGTGATAGAAATTGCGTAAAAAGAAAAAATTAGAGCAAGAAGCTTGCATAGTAGTTATTCGATTCTGAGTGACTCGTACGGTGTACATTTTTTTTCTCTAAAAAATTTTCTCGAACAACTGATAATTGGTGATGAAAATAGAAATTTGATCATTGACAAGAAATATTGGAATAATAATTGCAATCTGCAATAATAAAAATTTATTTTCTTTTCATGAAAAATAAATTTATTTATTATAAATAAATTGATAATTTAAAAAAAAATTATTGCAAAATTAAATTTTTTTATTTGTTGTAAATAAATAATAAAATTGAGGTTGATACAACAAAAATAAGAGATTTTCCGAGTCACTCAAAAAAAAAAAATATACTAACGAGTTCCGAATCTCAGGATAATTTTCGCTGCCACATACTAGAGTGGTGGCATCCTCGAAGTTTATAAAGTATTCTCTTAGGTTTTTGCTGTTAAATTTTTTCCTTGTTCTGCTTTATGAGAATTTGAAAATCTGGTTATAAAAAAAGACAATATAGAATCAGAGTGTTTAAAAAATAATTCAATTTAAAAAAAATTTCCTCTTTGAAAATTTCAAATTAAAATCTTACAAATTATTATTATAGATGAGGATTTATTCAAATCACATTTTTCCTCAAAAGGAAACTGAAATTAGCGAGTTTGCTGATTAACAAATTTTTAAAACTTAAAAAAACTTTTAAAAAACTTAAATTAAAATTAAAACAAATTGAAAATAAATTTAAATTTAAATTAAATAATTTTAAAAATTAATTCAAAAATTAAATTCAAAGAATAAAATAAATTTAAATATAAAAAAATTTATTTCGAAACTGGATTTTAAGATTTTTTTGCCAGTTTCACTTTTTTTGTAAAAATAAATTGAACTAAGTTTCATTTTTTTTCTGTATTTACAATATTTTGTCTCTAAATAAATTTTTGTATGTCTTTTTATATTGTAAAGATTTGCGTTAAATTTACACTTGTCAGTTATGTCGATTTTCTTCGAAATCAAGTCGGGTTTGAATTTGAAAACGAGATTTTATTTTTATTTACTTAAATATAGAAACTCGTTTTCATGTTTCCTGTCTGGAAAATAGAATAATGACAGACTTGATGAGATTAAATTATAAAGACACCTTTTGCGAATAAATTCGAAACGTTTTAAAAAGTAAAAAATGAAGCAAACAAAAAAAAAATAAATGTGTACATAGAAGTTCTTGTATGCATATAGCTTTTCTGTGATGATACGAAACTACATCAATTTTATCCATTTTTGCCGATAGAATTTTAACCACTCACAATCTAAATAGCTGTTGAATGAAAATTATTTTGGTAATTTTTTTTAAATAAAATTTTATTTTCATTCAGTCGACGAGCATCGATTTTTTTATATTTAATTATTTTTATTCATGAATATTGTGAATTCGGAAAATTTTGCCATCTTTTTTTACTATTTTCTTTAATTTGTTACTTTTTTTATTTTCTAAATTAAATTTTTTATTTTCCAATTTTTTTTAAATCTACATTTTTATGAGACAATTACGAATTTTATTTTCGTAAAATTTTTAATTGAAGGAATAAAATTTTGAGGTCTTGAATTTTTTTTATTTGGAAATTATTTTCATTTTTCAGTGAATTTAGAAAATTGAGTGATGCATGAGCGGCCTTGAAGGCATCTATATAAAAAATGTAAAAAAGGTAATATTTTATTATTAAAATTAAAAAAGAAATAAAATAAAAAAAAAATAGTAACTCGAGAATTTTCGGGTACAAAAGTTCAACACATTATTAATAAAAGTAGCGGAAGCGATTTAAAGAATTTGAGGGAAAAATGAACGCCAAAAAAAAAGATAAAAAAAAAAATAATGGAACGAGAATTATAAAAATGTAAAAAGAAAATGGAATTGCCATTGAAATGTGAAAAGAATGAAGTTTGTTATCTCTAGGGTAATTAGATTCCCTTTTAATAAATAAAAAAAAGTATCAGAGTCGTTTCAATTTTTCCCCTAGAATTTTTTTTTTTTTTTTTTTTTTTTGTAAATATAGATAATTAAAATAAAAATAATAATAATTTTCTTCGTTTGAAAAATAATTATTTTTCGCCCGAGAATTGTGATAATTATTGTGTAAAATATACAATTGGGAATTGAGATTATTTCCTCACGATTTGTGGCAAATGTGACAAATGTGTTATTATATTATATCGTTTTTTAGAATTTTTTTTATTTTATATTTTAGTAAAAAAAGAAAATATAAAGAAAAAAAACGACTCTGAAAAAATATGATTCCCAAGTTGTTTACACCTCTGCAGTGCCTGCGAATTTACGTGTGAATTATTTTCGCACTAATAGTGCAGGCGCGACGTCTCACTAGACTACGATTCAAAAATAAGAAATTTAATTAATTAAGAACGTGCGTATCTTTGTTTTGAGACTTCTTTTTAGATGAAACTTAGAAAAAAAATCCATTTTCGAATTATATACATTAAACATAGACATGCCCATACATTCGTATTACATAAATCTTATAAATATGTATAATACACAAAAAAAAATATATTATAAATGAGAAATCCTATTTCAATTAAAATAAAATCGAGAAGAGTAATATTATTGTTGTTAATTAATTTATTATTATTATCAAATAAATATTTTTTCTAAACAAGTAAATTTTATTTAAGTCAAATAAATTGTATTTGAAACAATAATTTTCGGTATTTTGAATCAAATACCAATAATAATTGACTTGAATAGAAATTATTCAGTAATAATTATTAATATTACTAAGTAATATAATTTTTAATAATAAATTGTAATTATATAATTTCAGTATTATAATTTTTAATAATAATTCTAAATATTATTCAATATTGTAATTTTTAATAACAATTATAAATTACAATTATAAATATTGTCCGATATTAGAATATTACTTGAAAATTACTGGTAGAATTTATTTTCATTGCAAAATATTTCAATTTCCAAGGAATATTTTTTGTAGAATATTGTACGAATTTTCTGTTTGAAATATGAAAGGAATTAAATATTCTTTTAAAATCTCAGATCGATAATTAAAATTTCAAATTATATTCTTGTAAAATATTCCAAGAAATATTTCTTGAAATATTAAAAAAAATACTATTTTCGAAATATTAAATTCGTAATTAAATTTTATAGCAATATTCTTGTAAAATATTCCAAGAAATATTTTTCTGCAATATTGTTGAATATTGTACGAATTTTTTTTATTATTGAAAAATGAAAATCTTACTTTGACAATGGAATATTTTAACTCTAAAAATTAAATTTGTATAGAACAGAAGAATATTCTTGTATAATATTTTAAGAATATTTTTTCGAATATGTCAAGAATATTCTTGGGTAATATTTCAAAATGTGTAGAATATTCCTGTAAAATATTTCAAAAAATATTCATGTGGAGTATTTTAAGAATATTATTGTAGAATATTTCCAAAGTTATTTATTTGAAATATTTCAAAAAAATTTATTCGAAACATTTTTAAAGAATAATTCTTGGGGAATATTTTAAAAACATTTTTGTGGAATATTTCAAACACATTCTTGTAGAAATCCTCAAGAATATTCGGGTAAAAAAATTCTGGTAAATATTTGAAAGTATCAAAATTAATACTAAAATGTATCAATTTGATACCAAGAATGTGTACCAAATAAAAAATTGATGTAAATTTTTGGTTTCAAATTGAGACACTTTAGTATCAATTTGATATTTTCAAGAAAACTGTGCAATTGAATATTAAAAAGTTTAATATTTTTTCAATTTTTGCCCCTCGAATATTTAAAAAAAGGACAATTTTTTTTCTACTATTGAAAAAAATTCAAGTTAAAGAAGAGAGTATTCTTTATTAAAAATATTTATTACCAAGCAAAAAACAATTTTTTTCGAGTATTAAAAAAAATTTTAATTCAAAAAGAAATTGTCAGGCTTCGTATTCGATTATTAGTTTTAAAAAAAGTAGCAAAAACTAGCTTAAAAACAGAAAAAAGTATAGTAAAAATGTAGCTATGATTTTTTTCAAAAAATTTTATGAAAATTGTGTTTTAAATAATTGAATTTCTTTGAAAATTGTATATTATTTATGAAAATAATTGAATTCTTTGAAAAGATTTTATTAAAATTATATTGACAACAATTCAATTATTATAAAGAATTTTATTAAAATTTTTTTAAATAATTGAATTTTTTCATAGAATTTTATTAAAATTCTTAAGAATAGTTGAATTTTTCGCGCAATTCATTTAAAATTGTAATAAAATTCAATTTAATAATTGAAATCCTGCGATGAGTTTTAATATTTATAAAAATAATTGATTTTTTGCAATGATTTTATTTATAAATTTAGAAAAATAATTGAATTCCTCAGAAGAATTTTATTATTTATAAAAATAATTGAATTCTTGCGAAGAATTTTATAAAAGTTTATTTAAATAATTGTTTTTTTTCGAAAAATATTAAATATCAGGAAAATTCTGTTTCAAATAATTGAATTCCTGTGAAATATTTTTTTATTTATGAAAGTAATTGAATTTTTTTCAATTTTTTTTTCTAGTTTTTCTTTCATTTCTTGGTTATTTTTTTTGTTTATTCTGTTTTTTTATTTTTTGTTTTTTTTTTGTTCTTTTCTATTATTGTTTCATTCCTTTTTTTTGTTTCCTTTGTTTGTCAATTATTTTGTTCTACTTTTTCTTTCATTTTTTGGTTTTTTTTTACATTTATTAAAAATTTTTTTTCTTTTATTTTCTGTTTTTATTTGTTTTTTTCTACTTTTTTTGTTCCTTTTGTTTTAATTGGTTTTTTTAAAAATATTTTTATTGTATTTTTGTTTTTTTTATTTTATTTTATTTTTTTGTTCCTTTCATTTTAGTTGGTTTTTTAAAAATATTTTTATTGTATTTTTATTTTTTTATTTTCTCCTATTTTTTCAATTTCTTTTTCAATTCTTTGCTTTTTTCTACTATTTTTTTGTACTTTTAGTTTTTTTCTTTTATTTTTTTTTGTTTTTTTTCGTTCTTTTCTTTTATTGTTTTTTTTTCTATTTCTTTGAATACTTTGTTTTTTTTTACTTTTTTTTTATTCTTTGTTTTTTCTAATATTTTTTGTTGTTGTATTTTTTGTCGTTTTTTTCATTTTTTCTGTTTTTTTGTTCTCTCCTTTGCTTTCTTTTGCTTTTTAAATTCTCCATTTTTGCTATTTCTTTTATTTTCTGTTTTTTCCTTTATCTTTTTTTGTTTCGTTTGTTTTTCTTTCCATTTGTTTATTTATTTTTCGTTTCCTTTGTTTCATCAATTATTTTGTTCTACTTTTTCTTTCATTTTTTGGTTTTTTTTATAGTTTTCTTATTTTTCTTGATTTTTTTGTTATTTTAAATATTTTTTTTCTTTGTTTATCTTTCTTTTACTTTTCTTTGTTTATCTTTCTTTTACTTTTCTTGTTTATTCTGTTCTTTTACTTTTTGCTTCCTTCGTATTCTTTTCTATGGACTTTTGCATTTTTTCTTTCATTTTTTTTATTGTTTTGATTGCTTTTTTATTATTTTTTTCTTTTATATTCTCGTTTTATTTGTTTTCTTCTATTTTTTTGATTCTTTTGTTTTAATTTTTGGTTTAGTTGGTTTTTTGTTCATATTTTTATCGTATTTTTGTTTTTCCTTTTTTGTTGTTTTATTTTCTTCTATTTCTTCAATTTCTTTTTCTATTCTTTGTTTTTTTCTACTATTTTTTTGTACTTTTAGTTTTTTCTTTTATTTTTCTATTTTCTTTGCTCTTTTCTTTGATTGTTTCTTTTGTTTCTATTTCTTTGAATATTTTGATTTTTTACTTTTTTTATATTCTTTGTTTTTTCTATACTATTTTTTGTTGTTGTATTTTTTGTCGTTTTTTTAATTTTTTCTGTTTTTTTTGGTTCTCTTCTTTGCCTTCTTTTATTTTTTAAATTCTCTATTTTTGCTATTTCTGTTATTTTTTGTTTTTTCTTTTATCTTTTTCTGTTTCCTTTATTTTTTCAATTATTTTCTTCTACGTCTTCTTTCATTTTTTGGTTTCTATTTTTTATTTTTCTTTTTTATTTTTCTTATTTTTTTTGTTTTTTCTTTCTTTTACTTTTTTGTTTATTCTGTTCTTTTACCTGCTGTTTCCTTCGTTCTTTTCTATGATTTTTTTTTGCATTTTTTCTTTCATTTTTTTGTTTTGATTGCTTTTTTATTATTTTTTCTTCTTTTATTTTCTCGTCGTGTAACAAGCAAAAAAAAAAAAATATCCAAATAGTAGGAAATCGTAAAAAAAGTAGTAAATAGTAGATTTTACCAGATGAGTTCGAGGCCTGAACTTTATATCTGTCATTACAAAATTTTTCTTTCCAAGCAAAAAAAAACAATAATGACGTAAATTAAAATTCGAAAATTTTCTTTTCCTCTCGTTCCACGTGAAATTTAATTTTTAGATAGACAAACAATAAAATCTATTTCTCGCGTTATCAAATGAAGAAAAAGCGAGCAGCTTGTGCTTGTGATGTTTTCGAGGATAATAAATCTGTCGTCTTTGAATGTATACAATCATGGTTTACTGCGCAAGACTATAAATGAGTGGCATGCGCCCTTGTTCAGGTGTTTTCACGGTAAATGGTTTCATCTTCTTCAGTTCGTTCTGTGTTCCGCACTAGGGTTAATCTCAAATCTAATTTCATCCCCCTAAACAGAGAGAGAGATAGAGAGTGAGAAACAGGAATAGTAAAATTTTATCAATGATTTTTTCATTATAAATGAGAAAAAGTCATTTAAGAAAAATAATATTCCTCCATTGTTAAATTCGGTCAAGTGCGGCTTTTTTTTCATTCATAAAAGTGCATTCTGTTTAGATATTTGAAAAGGAGGCGCTCTTTTGTCATCGCACACACCATAATCATCTAGCTAATTCTATTTTTATTTGAATTTTTTGAAGAAATAAAAGAAAGTGAACTCGGGAAATCTTTCTGGAAAAGAAGATTGGAAATATCATCTAGAATTTCAATCAATTGCAGTGGTGAGCTTTGATGTTTATTATTGTTTCGTCGTTTTTTTTTTCTTTTATTATTTTCTCGTCACACAATTTTTCAAGAAAATGTTGAATGTGATCTTTCTCCCCCACTGAGGGAATATTGTGATTATAGCGACCATGAATCAATGAGAAAACGCCCCGGTTTGGTTTTTTTTCGCTCTATATTTATAAAAGAAAATTTTCAAAAAAAAAAATTAATTTCTTAGATTCTTTTCGGAAAATGAAAAATATTTTTCAATATTTACTTTTTTTACAAGAATTAATTTTTTTATTGACCTTTTTTTGGTGATGAAAATATTTTACTCCTTTTTTCAAAAATATTAATATTCTTTATTAATTTCTATTCGTATTTTTTATTTTTTAAATTTTTTTTCTTTTTAATTTTCTTTTTCTAGAATTTCTTTATTAACTTTTCTTCGTTTTCAAAAAATATTTTTATAGAAATTTAAAAAAAATTACAATTATTGTTCGATATTTAAAATTTTTTTAATATTATTTTCTTTCATTAAAAAATAATGATCCGAAATAATGAAAAATTTTTTTAAAAATTTTTAGAAGTTTATTTATTTGTTTATTATTTAAATGAATTTTTTAAAAATGAAATATATTTTATTGTATTTGCTATTAGAGGAGAGGGGAAGGGGTATGGGTATTTTTAGAGAAGTTGAATTTAGAAAAAATTGGATCATCAAATTTTTAAGTTTTGAAATATTTGGTAGTCGGTGTAAATAAATAGAATTTTTCAATATTTTATTTTTTGTACAAAAAACTTTTTTATGGTGTTTTCTTGCGATTTTAACATTGTTTGTTATTTTTTATTTCGAGTATTGTACATATGGGGTGTCGACAAAATTCTTGATTTTCTAAAAGAGTTTAAAATTTTATAAAATTAAAATTTAAAATTTAAAATTTAAAATTTAAAATTTAAAATTTAAAATTTTTAAAAATTTAAAATTAGTTCTATTGTTAATTAATTAAAATAAAACATATCATGCAAAAAATTAATTATTTAGCAATAATTATTCTAATAACAATTACTGTTCTAATTATTTTTCAAAAAAGTTTAGTTTAATTTAAAACAAATTTAGTCTAATTTAGAATAAATCACAATTAATCTATTTTAAATGAAACTATTTTATATTTCATTCATTAAGTGACTTTTTAATTAGATTTTCTTAATTGATTTTTTAATTAGTATTTATTCCTTAAAATTAATTTTTTAATTAATATCTTAATTAATATTTATTCAATAATTATAATTACTTAATATTGTTGTTAATTATAATTAATTAATATTGTTGTTAATTATAATTAATTAATATTGTTATTAATTATAATTAATTAATATTATTATTAATTATATTAATTTATTAATAAATAAATAAAATATTTTAAAAAATAATAAAATCAGTGAATCGGGAATTTTATAGACACCCGGTAGGTACATAAATGTTATTATTTTTTTTCTATTAGTTCTCTTTCGTTTAGAAATGGGAATAAATTTTTTTTTTTTTTTAATGATTTTGTAATGGGTGTGTATATAATTTTTTTTCCACCTGCCTGTAACTAGTTATTGCACCATGCACGATTCTACTGAATGAACCTTTTCTTGTCTTTTAGTTGGCTGAGAACACTCACCCAGTAGTGGCACAGTATCGTAAAACAATGGAGAGGTGACTATCGTGTTACAAAAAAAAAAAAAAACAATTATTTTGTCACTTGTTTATTTTCCATTGCTATAGAGAATATAAATCTGCAAATAATTATTTTTTTGCAAATTTTATATTCTTACAAAAAAAAAAAAAATAATAAACTTGCGAGAATTATGAAAAAACATCTATTACGAAAAGTAATTTTCTTCTATTGAAAACAATTTTTTGTACGAGAAAAAATATAAGATATAAAATTTATAAAATAAGTATAGTAGTTAAAAAGAAATAAAATTAATAAATATACAAAAATTTGAAAAAGTTTATTTTTAAAATTATACAAAAATCTATAAAAAATAAATGAAAATAATAATAAATAATAAAAAAAATATTAATTAATTGTAAATTTAATGTACTTGAATTATTAATTTTGATTTAATTTTGATTTAATACTATTTCGTTTGTTAAAATAAATTTTACCGAATTAAAATTATTAATTTTGATAATTTTAATTAATAATTATTAATTAATAGTTATTAATTAATAATTATTAATTAATAGTTATTAATTAATAATTATTAATTAATTATCATTATAATTAAAAAGTAGTATTATTATTTCAATTATAATTGAATTCTTATATGACTTGTTTTTTGGAATCAAATGCAAGTAAAATGGTATATATTCAAAATTTATATATGATCTCTCGAGATTTATACGCTTTCTGTCTTTTGCCGTCAAGATAAGAATAAGAAACAGTTGCAAATACAGAGTAGTCTCAAGGTTTTTAAAAATCCTGTCATAATTTACATTTTAGGCATTTTTTTTCCATGTCACCTCTTCAATTTATATTGATTTCACAACAATATTTCTTTCAATGGAAATTTTGTTTATTTAATGTTTCCATCATGAAAATTTGTCACACCGCAAATTGATGAAATTTATCCTAATTGTTAATTAATGACTAAAATAAATTTTTTTTTCACTTTTCTAAAATTTTATTTGTGTACGTGCCTGGGTTACAATTTGTTAATGAATGCTAAATGTCAATGACATTGACACTGTTGACACTGTTTATAGCAAAATGTCATTGGAAAATAGTTGGAAGAAATTTTTTTTTCTTTTATTTTCACTATTTATTGGAAATAATATTAAAGCAGATTGAAAATTTTTATTATTAGAAAATTAATTTTATGGAAATTAACGGGATTTTTGATAAATTGAAATTTTACTGTATTGTTGACAATTTATTGACTGACTGAAAACTGTCTAAACTACTGGAAGTAGTGAAAGTTGTTAAATATATACTCTTCTCATTGGCTGACCACTTCCTGGCCGCTACTACTTTCGTGTACATATGTAAAGTTCAATGACAATATGAATGAAAACCGAATTCATTATTAAACACTTTGTTTCGAATGTTTTGAATATATTTTCTTCTTTCCCGAAATATTATTAATTCAAAAAGAATTAAAATTTAAATAATCATTTTTTTAAATTTAAACTTATTAATGAAATTTTTAATTAATTTTTAATTTTTTACTTTTGAAACGATTTTTTTTAAATCAATTTAATATATTTAATTATAAAGATTCAATTCAAATTCAATTCTCCTTTCTGCTTTTTTATTTTCTTTCTTTCATTTTTTTTGTTTTTCTACTTTTTGTCTTTTCTACTACTTTTTCTTTGCATTTTTTCTCGTTTTCATGTTTATTTTTTGTTTTCTTTTTTTCAATTAATTTTTTTTAGTTTTTCTTTCATTTTTTTGGTTTTTTTTACTATTTCTCTTATTTTTTCTTTTTTCTTTTATCTTTTTTTGATTTTTTGTTTAACAATTCTTCTAAGGATATCAAATTGAGACAAAAAACGGTGTTCTTTTTTTTTGTTTATTATGTTCTTTTATTTTTTGTTTCCTTTGTTCTTTTCTATTATTTTTACATTCCATTTTTTTCATTTTTCTTTTTTTGGTTCCTTTGTTCTATTTTTTCTTTCATTTTTTGGTTTTTTTTACATTTAAAAAAATTTTTTTTTGTTTTCTTTGTTTTTTTTCCATTTTTTGTTTATTTTTCGTTTCCTTTGTTTTTTCAAATATTTTGTTCTACTTTTTCTTTCATTTTTTGCTTTTTTACATTTTTTCTTAATTTTTTGTTTTATTTTTTTTGTTCTCTTTATTTTTCATTCTTTTATTTTTCTTGTTTATTCTGTTCTTTTACTTTCAGTTTCCTTCGTATTCTTTTCTATGATTTTTTGAATTTTTCTTTCATTTTTTTGTTGTTATTGCTTTTTTTATTATTTTTTTTCTTTTCTTTTCTGTTTTTATTTGTTTTCTTTGAATTGAATTTTAATGAAAATTGAATTTTTGAATTTTGAATTTTTTACTTTTTGTAAAGAATTTTATAAAAATTGTTGAAAATAATTGTATTTCTGGGAATAATTGTATTACAAATTTTATAAAATAATTGAAATTCTTCTAGAAATATTTTTATTTATGAAAATAATTGAATTTTTGTGAAGAATTTTTTTATTTTTGAAAATAATTCAATTTTTATAAAGAATTTGATTAAAATTGTTGAAAATAATTGTATTTCTTGGAATAATTATATGAAAAATTTTATAGAAAAATTGAAATTCTTCCAGAAATTTTTTTATTCATGAAAATAATTGAATTTTTGTGAAGGAATTTTTTTATTTTTGAAAATAATTGAATTTTTGTAAAGAATTTTATAAAAATTGTTGAAAATAATTGTATTTCTTGGAATAATTGTATTAAAAATTTTATAGAATAATTGAGATTCTTCTAGAAATTTTTTTATTTATGAAAATAATTAAATTTTTGTGAAGAATTTTTTCATTTTTGAAAATAATTGAATTTTTGTTTTATTTTTTTTGTTCTCTTTATTTTTCATTCTTTTATTTTTCTTGTTTATTCTGTTCTTTTACTTTCTGTTTCCTTAGTATTCTTTTCTATGATTTTTTGAATTTTTCTTTCATTTTTTTGTTTTTATTGCTTTTTTTATTATTTTTTTTCTTTTATTTTCTGTTTTTATTTGTTTTCTTCTATTTTCTGTTTTTATTTGTTTTCTTCCATTTTCTGTTTTTATTTGTTTTCTTCTATTTTTTTTGTTCTTTTTGTTTTAGTTGGTTTCTTTAAAAATATTTTTATTGTATTTTTGTTGTTTTATTTTCTTGTATTTTTTCAATTTCTTTTTCTATTCTTTGTTTTTTCCACTATTTTTTGTACTTTTAGTTTTTTTCTTTTATTTTTTTTTGCTCTTTTCTTTGATTGTTTCTTTTTTTTCTATTTCTTTGAATATTTTGTTTTTTTTCCTTTTTTATATTCTTTGTTATTTCTACTATTTTTTTGTACTTTTTTGTATTTTTTCTGTTTTTTTTGTTCTCTTCTGTTTTTTTTTGTTCTTTTCTGTTTTTTGTTCTCTTCTGTTTTTTGTTCTCTTCTTTGCCTTCTTTTATTTTTTAAATTCTCTATTTTTTTCTTTCATTTTCTTCTTTTCTTTACTTTTTCTTTGCTGTCTAGTTTTTTTTGTTTTTTTTTCATTCGTCTGCTATTGAACAAAAAAATATTTTATCAAATAATTAAATTCTGATTAATTTAACAAAAAAGAAAAATAATTTGCTTCGGATTTTTCCCCCAAGTGACATAAACAGTAGCTTATCAATTCGAAAATTATAATTATCTTCCGCTCATAGTAATAATTCATAAAAAAAATTTGTCAAAAGAGAAATAAAATAAACGAATCATTTATGAAACAACTTTAATCCCATTGTTGACTTCTTCTTAGTTAAATAAAGACTACTTGTCGCCTCTGGTACGAGCAATTTTACTTACTTTTTTTCTCTCTCCCTCTTTCTATTTTTTTTTTTTTTTGATTTTCTTATATAAATTTTTTTAATGAATGTATAAATTTAGGAAGAAATCACTTTATGTGAGCCAAAAATCTTGCAATTTTCACAGGAAATATATTTGAAATTAGCTTTTTGGAACGTGTGTGTGTGTGTTTGTGTAAAATAAAGTTGACCTAGCTATTTGAAAATAGAAACAGTTTCGGTGAAAATTCAGGGTCATTGGGAAGAGTTTGTTTCTTAAATGTAGTGATGAGCTTGTTTAAAGAAAAGAAGAAGAAGAAGAAAAAAAAAAGATTCTAACGCTGATTTATGAGGAGAAATTGTGACCTATATACCAGAAGGATGGAATTTTTTCTTCTCTCTCTTTTTCCTGAGAGATAGTATAAAACATCAAGGTTACTTTTCTCCATTTCCATGGAGTACAGGAGACGATAAAATCGACCAGTCTGTAACCATGGCGACTCCACCCCCCAATTTTATCCTACTCCATTTACGTCACAAAACCCGCTACAAACATTTACTATAGTCTAGTTTTCATGACTATATATACATATACACATTCATAGTGTCATTATTCATTTTTAATTAGTTTACAATTGAATCATTGTAAAAACAAAGTACAATTATCTTTTGCACGAGTATATATTTAGAATGATGATTTTCTTTCATTACTACAATCAAATATTTCATTCATATCATTGAATTCTATTTTTTAGTTTCAAACAAATTTTTACATGTTGCGAATAATTTTTTTTTAATGTTACTATTTTTGTCAATTATGTTTTTTTATTAATTTTTTTTCCGATAAATAAAAATTTTTATTTTTAAATTGAAACTTTTTTTTTATACAATAATTAAAGAAACGATAAAATTATTTTAAAAAATTTTCCGAAATTCAATTTTATTTTCAATATTTAACACTTTAATAAAATTTCTTAAAAGAATTCAATTCTTTACCTAAACAAAATTTTGATAAAATTCATCAGAAACATTTAATTATTTTTAATACCATTTTAAATAATATCAGTAAATAATTCAATTTTTTCCAAAATATTAACAAAAATCTTTGGAAGAATTCAATTATTTATACAAATTCCATAAAATAGATAAAACTCAATTATTGTCAAGTTATAAGAAAATTTTTTTTAAATTCAATTATT